CCTTTGACAAAAGTGGTGACGCGATATGATTGGAAGGGTCACCTTTTGTAAAGTGTGGTTGTGACCATAGTTTACATGTACGACCACTGTGGTTGGCACAATCGTGGTCATAGATCGTGTCATGGTTTGACGAACCGTAAACGTACTATTGGTTTAGCAAGTCGCAAATTGCTGATATATGAATTGAATTTGTCATTTTATATAGATAGTCGGGAATCCATATTACCCTTAGTAGATAAAAGTCAGAACGACTTCGCGCGAAAAATAAAATGAAATAGAGAGCATGTCATGATATATTTGATTTTCTCTATGTTCAAATATGATTAATTTAATTGATATGATATGACCATTGACATAATAGATTTGATATTTCTTTTAATAAAAAAAAATTATTTTCTTAATTTATAAAAAATCCCTGACATGACCCGTGATAGTAAATAATAATAGTACTTTATTTCAGCATGATTTACTTTCAAAATCTTAGTGGTGTTATTTAAATATAGTTTTTCTTACTTAATATACAGAACTCATCCTTTTCCACGACCCCCCAGATGAGGAAGATAGTAAGGAACCGATCGTTAATATACCCCTTAAAACCTTCGAGGATCCCGTGGATCCAAAAACTTTTATGAGTGCATGATTGTCCGGATGAGTCCATCTTTTGTAAAGGCTTGTAATTAATTTTGTTTCTGCCTCAATATTGTATGGAGCGTTATTATTATTTTGTAAGGAATTATAATTATTTGTTTCGTTGCATATATTTGTATATTATGTAATCGTAATATGTTTTTGTATCTGGTACCCTTATGCTTTAATTAGCATTAGGATGTCATAGAATATCCAAAAAATAGTATAGCAGAACTGATTTAGCACACAAAGTTGTCATATGTGCTCAAGCCTTGGGTAAGGCTTGCACTTGAAGGCTCTCGTAAGAGATATTAGTTCGTACACGGGTAAGCCTTGGGCAAGACTTACACCATAACGGGAACAACATATATTAATCTTTTAGAATTCTTTCACACTTAAAGAAAATGATAGAAGTAGGAAACTAAGTAAAAAAGGATACTAGTAAAAACTAAAAAGAATCCAAAATCAAGGGAAGAAAAAATCCGAACTACACACAATCTCACTCTTTAAATAGAAGAAGAAAAGGAGAGATGCGGAGGGGTGAAAGGAGAGGAAGTCGACGAGCATAATTTCTTTTAGTTTTTATGTAATTTTTTTATGTTAATTCTAAACGATTGTTGGTGTGTTAAACTCACCCCGAGTAATTAAATACTTCTATTTTTCAATCAATGATTTAATTTAAATTTCAATATAAGGGATTTGAGATCTAATTGCTTTACTTTTATTCTTTCTTATTTTCAATATTTATACATTTTTTCGTGCATAAGAATATTGTTGTTTGTTATTCATTGCAATAAGACCCATTGTGCGTTTAACGTAATAGCATATCACTATTTGGGACTGCTAAATCCATAATTGTTCAAGATATCTTGATAGCTAGTTGTAAATTAATATTCACACTAAAAAAATATACAATCTAATCTAAATGAATTGCATGGTTGAATTTATTGGTTAGAATTAGGTCTTTATGATTTTTAATGTCATTGGTGAGTTAAACTTTAGGAGCGTATTCAGAGTTGTTCATTAGTAAGAGTTAATGAATGAGTATCTCTTTATTAATTTAAAATTAAGGAAAGATTAACTATTAGAAGTGTCTCCAATAAGTAGAATCAGTTTATTGAGAATTAGTAGGAATTATATTTGCATCAATGATCAACCTCACATCTTGAAATAAATATTATTTCTTTGACTGAAAATAATAATCAATTCTTATTTTCTTATTTTGTTGAATTATTTTTCGTCAATCTCATTTAATTAATTTTTATTTGCTGTTTTATTTTAATCCATTAGTTGTTCAATTTCAACTCAAAGCAAAACCTTCCTCCTTTTACTTTATTTATTTGTTACTCGTAAAAGAATATCATGACTCAATTTCCTGTAGATTTGATCATATTCACCAGTACTATAATATTATTTTCTTATTTGAATATAAAGTTATTTTTAATGAATTCGACACCTATCATGGTGTGACTGTCTTTATCTTATATGGGGTTGCATAATTTTTTCCCTCTCATATTTTTTGTCATGTTCCATGGTGGATTCATCAATTCATGGTTTTATAGGTCATAAAAGGAATTTGGATGGTTACAAAAGTATATAATTAAATACAAATTTGGGCAGTTAATCATATATATATATATACAATTATTTTCTTAGATGTAAAATTGATATTTTCGGTTTGCTCTATAAAAATATGAGCTTGAGTAAAGTTATTCCTTCTATTTTTATCGTTATTAGAAAGTTTATTTTATTATTATTTATACATAAATATCATTTAATTCTTGTGGTGTACAAATTTTTAGTATATATACATATATATATATATATATAGACACTAATTTGCTAGAAAGAGAATATTATATGTATTTTGGGAATAATTCATAATCTAAGAATTGAAGCACATCCTCCCATCCAATTAATGTACTTTGGAAAAACCAGGCAACTTGTAAGTCAGCAACATGATATTTGGAATACTTTTCGCTTACTTAACTAAGTCAGTGCTACTATATCACAATATTTAGAAATACAAGCAGCAAAGAAATATTGAAAAAATTACCTTCAAAACATTTTCATTCCTGAAGAAATATTAAAGTAAAGAATATTAATTACCCATGTGAGTGCAAGAACATTAACAGAGAAGAAACAAAAAGAATATTACAAGTGGGTAGATGCTAGCTAGCATCTTCCAGTGTCTACAGAACTAAAAGATATACCACCAGTGGAGGACGAACGAATTGATCTTGTAACAGTATCATAAGATACAACTTGTAAAAATACTCTTGAACTCCTTTCTTCTTCATCAGAATCCAGATAACAACGAAAATCCATCAATGGAAGTTCATCATCTCCATTGAGATATCGCAGTACTTGTCTCATACTAGGTCTACATTCATCTTTCCGATGGCAACACAAAAGTCCCAAACCCATCATCAACTTCACTTCTTCAACTACATAATCTGAATTCAGATTCGGATCTACTGCCTCCAAAATTTTACCCATTTGGAAACATTCAGCCACCCAGTCAACCAAGAAGAAATTGTTCTTTGCTGTAGGTTTCCTTCCACTGACTATTTCTAGCAACAAAACTCCATAAGCGAACACATCTGAGCTAGCAGAAGCTTTACCATTGCGAGCAAGTTCAGGCGCGATGTACCCAACAGTGCCGACGATATTGGTTGTGTGTGACGACGTGCCGTGATCGTATAACCGGGCGAGACCAAAGTCTCCAAGTCTTGCATTCATCTCACCATCTATTAACACATTGCTGGATTTCACGTCTCTGTGAATAACAACTTGTTCCCATTCTTCATGAAGGTATAAAAGCCCTTCTGCAACACCTTTAGCGATGCTAACTCTCTCATCCCATTTCAAGACACATCCTTTCTTGGGTCTGAACAGAAGAGAATCAAGGCTTCCATTAGGGACATAATCATAGATAAGAAGAAGATCGTTCTTGTGCTTACACCATCCTTGGAGATTAACCAAGTTCTTGTGACGTAATCTTCCCAAGCTTTCAATCTCTGCTGCAAATTCTCTGAGTCCTTGGATTGAGTTTCGGCTGATTTTCTTCACGGCTATTTGAATCCCAGAAGTGGGCAATACACCTTTGTAGACTGTACCGAATCCGCCAACTCCAATCATCTCACTCTCTTTAAACCCCTTTGTAGCTTTATCCAGATCCTTGTAGCGAAACCTGTGAGGACAATCCAGTTCCCAATCTTCAAGATTCTCTGCCTGCATCCTCCGTCTGTGCAATACCAAACATGCTAATACCACCATTAGAATAACACTAACAGCAGATAAAGCACCAATCAAAGCGGCGACTTGGGTTTTTTTGGATGATTTTTCTTTCTCATTTGGAGCTGAAGGAAGCGTAGAGAGATGAAGAAAATTAGCCATTTTGTTCGTCGAAAAGCTCCATCCCAACAAGTAATGGGAGCTTGATTCCTTCCCCGTTGACGCAGAAAACCCAACGTACATAAATTCTTTAACAATGTCAACGAGGTCTAAGGATTTAGAGATGAGAGGTCTGATTGGTCTCTCTTTATTGGCAGGCCAGATTGTTACGTTGACCACTTTGTTGACTCCATCGTATTCAATCCAAGCATGGATTGGTTCCCCGATTTCCAAGTCCAGATCTTCGTTTCGAACCGGCGTGTCATAACCTGCTGGTTCTTGCTCAATCGAGTCTACACTATTAACGTTTAACCCGACGTGGTTTCCTTGGCTGTCCGTGGTCTCATTGAATCCATTAACTGTGTCGAACTCAACAGCAAAAACATGATTCGAGGTTTTGTTGTCGTTGTCTCGGTTGAAAAGTCCGAGGAAATGTCCTGCCTCTGCGTCGGAAAACTGTGTTTTCGGAGCTAACGTGAAGGCAAATCCATATCCACCTCTGCCTGAGCTCGGAGACTTTATAACAAACACAAAATTTGTGCTGAAAGAATACACATCTTCATTTGAGGAAGATGATGATTCATCAAACATTCGTATTGGTTCTCGATAGAATGCATGTCCTATAGCATGATGTGATTTTCCAGTGAGTCTAAGTGCACCGCCGGCGATGATAGTAGCAGCTCCATCCATGGTGATATTAGCTTCACTTCCATTAAAGCCACTGAAGATGAAACTAGTGTTTTGACCTTGAACGACCCCAGAGAAAAAGAAGACGGTGGCGATGATGATGATGATGAAGGAAGCCAAAGAATTTGTTAAATCCATGAAAGAAGAATGTTGAGATTAATTGAAAGGTTTCTGGTACAAGAAGTAAACGAAAATTTATTGGTTGAAGCAGAGAAAAAAAGGGGTCGGAAGCAGAGAAGGCCAAAGAATGAAGCTTGGAATGGTCAAAGTCAAAAAATCATGATGTAAGGAAATTGTATATATAAATATATACATACTCAAAAACCCATGATTGAATCTTATTATTTAAAAGGAAGGTTCAAAATGATCCAATAAAATTTTCATTGGTGAAAAGAAAAAAGAAAAACAAAAAACAGAGTGGTGTCACGGTCACCAAAAGATGAAATTCCATAGCAACAAGGGTATTGATTTGAAATGGTCGTACGAAGGAGAATTGAACAATTCTACATGGAAGCCACGTGGCGTCATCTGAGGAGTTCTAATCTTATAAAAAAAATAATAATTTATTAGGTCTACGAAGTCCACGATTTATAGTTTTTAAAATTATAAAGAGAATAATTCTTTTTGCTTTTATGAGGAAATAGGTTGCTCTCAATATGTCGTCTGAAGTAATCAATTTGTGAACTACAAATATCAAACCGGTCTTTGACTTAATAATAATTATTTTTTAATAAAAATTTATATATTTTAATAATTAATTAAAACTTACATATTATTAAGATTAAAATTAAAATTATATGCGGTTCAATTCAAATTTACATTTTTATTGGTAAAAATAGAAATAATTATTTCTTTTTTTAATAAAAAATTAGTAAAATTTATTTTGTAGTTAAAATTATACGATAAAAAATGATAAGTGTGAGCAAAAACTAACCAAAATTAAATAAAAAAAGTCAAACAAACTAAACTTAGTGAAAATAATAAAATCATATATTGTTATATTATTATAATCTGTTTAGTATTTTAGAAGAAAATAATAAAATTTATATATTATTAAATTAATACATAATTTTCGAGTTATTTTTAAATAATAAAGTAATATATTTGGTTGATAATTGTGAGTTTTAAAAGGAGAAAGAAAAAAAAAAAATCCTGAATTATCAAAAATAAAATTTTGTATAAATTGCATTTACTTTGACCATTCTCTAGTAGATTTGAGGAGGGTTGACTCTCACCAAACTACTGGTTCATATTCATCAAGAGAGCAAAATACAAAGCAAGGAGAAATTGACTTCCGTCCAGGTTTATTTATGAGAAATAAAAAATAAAATTACAAAAATTGCATTTTCTAATTTATAGATTCCATACTTGTGGGAACACGTGATGGTAAGATAAAATAATTATGATATATTTCCCATAATACTTGTTTTTTCTTTAAATTAATTATTATCTTAGTTTTAATTAAATTAGTTATTAAACATTTGAAAGTTTTTTAATTGGATGTTAAGATAATTAACTTACAGTTTCACATGTCATAATTTTATTAGTGATAGTGTTAGTCGAATATCATGTCTAATACAATTGATAAAAAAATTATCATTATTAAAACATTTATCAGTCATATTTTCACTAAGTTTAGTGTAGTTCACAAACCAAACTTAGTGAAAATAATGAAAATAAAATTATAGTATGTTATCGTATATATTTTAATTAATTATTACAGTCCGTTTAATATTTTAAAAGAAAATAAAAAATTTTATAGATATTTTTAAAGTAAATTTTATATATTATCAAATTAATACATAATTTTTAAGTCATTTTTAAATAATAAAGTAATATATTTGTTTGATAATTAAATATACATATATTTAAATTTTGATCGATCTAAATTGGTTCAAATAAAAAAAAAAAAAACAAAAATCTTTAATTATTTTCTTCTTCTTCTTCTTCATCCTCCCATGCTCCCCCATCTCGTGTTGATGCTATCCATAACAATTTGGCTTTACGGGTTAAGCTCCTTCATTGAGAACCTTCCCAAATTTTACACCTCTTGATTTTCACTCACATTCTTCAACTTTGTTCTTTCTCCCGCCTTTCACCCACTATAATGATAATCCTTCGCCCACTCAACATTGAACCTAAAGTCACCATCATTAATATCACAATTAATACCATTGTTGTACCTATCTCACGAGAGATTGTATAAATTTTTCTAAATAAACTTCAAATGTCGATGAGAATGAAAATCGATAGAGAATTAATTATAAGAATGCGAGAGGTTGTATAGATAAGATCACACATGGATACCAACAATGTGTCTCGTATTATGAAGAGACGAATAGAGAGAAGTTTGATATTTGGATTAATTTATTTTGTTGTAGAAATCAACTTAGAGCTTATTGTCTCAGAATGTACTACGAATTGATTGAATTATTTAGACAACGAGTTTGGGCACTAGAGAGATTGTCATGTACATAAGGTTGCAGACATTTGTGGCACTGACACTATATGTTTTGCTAGTTCATACATATGCAAGGTTCGATTGAGATGGGATAACCATGGGAGAAGAAGAAAAAAAAAAAAGCGGCTAAAGATTTTGTATTTTTACTTGTCTAAATTTAAATAAATATTATATTATAATGTGATACTTAATTAATAATAAAATTAATAAATTTAACACATTATATTTTTAGTTAATGAAGTTAATTTCTATTGGAAAAAAAAAAAAAATCATTATTTTAGGTTATTCCACTAATCTTCAATTAGTATTCCGTCAGGTCTAACAATTTTTTTTTTTAAATAAACATGTATCAGACTGATACATTGCATTACAAAAATCATACTTTATTAATGTTTTTGCATTATGAAATGAAAATTAATTGCGAAATTTGAAAACCCCATTCGAAAGTCACAGAGACGTGTGTGTGTGTGTGTGTTGAGCTTCCTCCTGCATAAACCAGTAGGCCAAATTCGGGCCTAGTAAGCAAATTTGTAGAACTTGTGAACTGATCCAGTCTGGTAGCTGGCCTCGTACATTCCTCAAAACAAAATGGAAACTCGCCTCCTACGGTTCAAATTGAGGCCCAATCACATTGGGCGAAATTCTAATTGTGTTAATCGCATGTGCCAAATTTATATGTAATATATACTTTAATGACTGACAACAAAAAAAAAAAGGAGAAAAATAATATATAATAAATAAAAAATTACAAATTAGTTAACTACTAAACTCTTACAAAAGATTTAAAAGAGGCTCGTGTTTAATGCTAATGCGAAGGAGGAGGAAGAGATTTCAGTAAGTTAAATTTATATAGCAAATTATAAATTTCTGAAAAGCTCTCGAAGAAAGCTTTACATCCATATTAAAATAGCAGCAAACCTAGTGGTGAATTGAATTTAAAAATAGGTTGCAGGTTTCTCAGCATGATTTCTATTTCTGTCTAACTTGGTGGTGTTAGTTAGAAAATGTATTTTCAGCGATACTCGAATAATCAATCTAATAATCTTTCAAAAAAGCATTCTAATGCTACTAAGAAATATCACGATATGAAATCGGAAAGTAGAACATCTTAGTTTGAATTTTTTTCTAAATTTGGAAATGAATCCTACTCTCAAGTAGCAAAGAGTATGATTCACCTCTAATCTTCCCGAATGAATTCAAAGGTTTTTTAAAAAATTATATTATTCTGTTATTTTTCATAAATTTTCTCAAAATAATGTACTTTTGAAAAAAAAAAATCATTAATTTTACAATTTTATTATCGTGAAAAGTGTGCTCAATTCTTAAAATTTCCAAGCTTCAATTAATTACACGAAATATTTTTGATATGCTCATAATATATATATATATATATATATATAGAGGAAGGTGTATACTATGATATACATTATGTATTAAAATCTAATTTTCTAGTTGTTTGAGTTAAATTTAAAAGTATTATTTTTGAGAAAATTTTTGATACATCCATAGAGATTGGATTGGTCATCCCTTAGAGAATAGGAGACAGTAAGGTTGAGTGCATACCATTAATGAGCATGGAATTGAATTTGTTTTAATGAATAACGAAATTATGTAATAGAGGTAATAATTTGGCTTAAATTGGTATTGATAATGAAAATAAGTAATAGATGAAAGATTGTAATGTATTTACAATACGTAGCGGAAGATATAAAATAATCCAATCTAATTTATTTGTGCTTTAAAATTATATTGTATATTAAATATCAAATGTAAAATATATCTAATTGCGCATTCTCAAATAAAATTATTCAAAAATATGAAGATTCTATACGTATCCATATCGAGACTGACCTTTACTAATCAACTCCTTAATCAATAGAACTCGTGAACAAATTGAACGATATTCGTATTAAAATTTTCTTACAAAATTTTAATAAATTGAAAGGACACAATTCCCTCAAATTTGTTCTCATTTTTAATGTGTGGCTTTTTAAAATTTTTTTAAGCAGCTGCCTTTTTACTAGAACTTGGGGCTATAATTTTTACCAGCGCTTGCATTTGCCCTTTTTACTAGCGCCTGTAGCTGCCTTTTTTTTACCAATACCTGCGAATGTGCAGTTGCCTCTTTTTACCAGTTTTTTCTTACCTTTCTTTCAACAGTCATCCCATTATATATATATGTATATATCTCATATATATACATAATGGTGGCGACACAATTAGGTTTATTGTGACATCCCAAGTATTAATTAAGACATATTGGTGTCAGATACAGATTCAAAATTATGAGTGCATGATAAAATTTATGTAGCAGAAAAAAACCATTACAAATCCCTTATAAATACATATGAGTTCCAATACATACATGTACCGAGACCAAAAGTGGCTACAAAATACAACATAAATATAAGGGCTACTTTTTTCATTATGTTATTAGACTCATCAGAGTGCGGGAACAATCATGCACTCAGACTTGTGGATCCATGGGATTCTCATAGCCTTTCAAGGGTAAGTCGTAAGTCAGCCTGCGGGTCATAACTTTCTTCCTCATTTGGGGGTGGCATAGAAAGAGTGAATTCCATATGGTCAGTAAGAAAAATAGTATTAAATTAACATTATAAGATTTCAAAAACTAGTTATTTCATCTTACCATTTAAATTCATCGGTTACCTATCTCACATTATGGAAAACTATTTATTTGTTAAAAAAATGATACGTTAATGCAGACAATCAAACATACATCATGCTAGATAATAGAAAAAATTAAATAAATAATGAAATGCTCAATTTTTCGTGTCATACTTCGTG